CATTTAATTAACAGATTATCGAATTCAGATCTTGATCTGGGTATCGGACTGAGATCCTAAATCCATCTCCCATTAATTTAGTCGGATTCGGATCAAAATTCGATCCATTGACAGCCCTAGATTTAGCCCTTACTCTCGGGTTTTTTAGCCCCTTTTCCACAATTAGCCCGTTTCAAAAACCTCATTTCCATCCCTATAAACTTTCTTTTTCAGAATTCCATCCCATGGCAATGCCTTTTCCCATAACCTTCGGTTTAAGTATAAACTGATTAAATCTTCATCAGTGGCGCAAATAAAACCCTGGAAATATGTTTGCTGCCTCTTCCAGCTGGAAAGTTAAGAAGAGCAATTGCTACCCTCAGTTCGGCGGAAGCTTTTAATTTTTACTGTCTAGGCTTGTAGTTGATATTATCTAGAAATCATAACTTTCGTGTTTATCCTAAAACAACGAATTTTAGTAACTTTTATTAAACTCTCCTACTTGTTCTAGAAGTCGAGTTCTATTCAAATTATAAGTCACATTAAAATCTTATATATAGGAGTCATTATAATCAAAATATGTACATCCCTCTCAATTCAATTATCTTATTCTCGATTTAATACTCAAAACTTTTTCTTTGAAGTCCAAATTGAATACAAATTCACGAGTTGCACTCTTCAAACTTCAAATGGGCTGCAAACCAAACTTTGATTCACCAATAAATTCACCATCAAAGAAAATCAAATTCACCAAGCACCAGACTCAAACCCAGGAATTAATCCCACACCTTCCACAGGAAATCATAGAAGAAATCCTCTCGAGGTTGCCAGTCAAGTCTCTTTTGAAATTCAGTTGCGTTTCAAAATCATGGCTTTCTTTGATCTCCACCCCAAATTTCATTGAAACCCATCTACAAAATTCGTCCCACCACAGAATATTATTAACCATTGATGATCCCTACACCGACTCGCCTGATTACCTCCAGAACTGTTCTTTACATTCCTTGCTGTATAACCCAGTCACTGACGCAATGAATATTCCATGGGATTGGGACGAATTTTCGGTTGTGGTGGGTTCTTGTAATGGGCTGGTTTGCATTGCTAAGCGTTTTGATAAACTATTCTTGTGGAACCCTAGTACAAGAAAATCCAGGAGGCTGCCATTTTCTGTGGTGGAGATGTTTTTTAATGACGATATCTATGAGTTTGGTTATTTTACGTATGGGTTTGGTTTCGATGAATCAACTAATGATTATAAGATAGTGAAATATTTTTGCTATGAACATTTGACATTAGTAATGATTTATAGTTTCAAAACCGATTCTTGGAAACATATTGAGGATTTTCCGGGGCGTCCAATCAAGAACACTGCCAAGTTTGTGAATGGAAAGTTTTATTGGATTGCTAGTCATTTGCTTAGAATCAACATTGTTTCTCTAGATATAGAGACACAAAGGTTTGAAGAAATCGAACTTCCACAGCTTTCCGAACCTGATAATTATAAACATCTGACATTAGGAGTGTCGGGAGAATGCCTTAGTATGCTTATAAATTATGAGAAGTACGGGGATTTGTGGATTTTGAAGGAACGGGCTTGGAGTAAAGTGGTTAACATTCCTTTCATCGTCGATGATACCAAGATATTTGAACAGTCTTGGAATAAATTGTTCACCATTCCTTTCGACATCAGTTATCCCGGGATTTTTGAGGAATGGACACCATTGTACATGCTAAATAATGGGGAGATTTTGTTATTATTTGGAACAATTTTTATAGTTTACAATCCCAAGGACAAAGGTCTAAGGTGTCCTATTATTAATAACTTTACTCCTTGTCTTAAAGCGAATATTTATGTTGAAAGCTTAGTTTCACCGATGGACATGGGGCACACATAGCCGGACCCGAGGAGAGACCCAAGAGGCTGTCGCCTCAGGCCCAGTTCTTTAGGGGGCCCAAGAAATTTTTTTTGTTTCCTTCTTTATTTAGAAAATTTATTGTCATTTATACTCGTTCACCCTTGTTCGGCTGCTTCAAACAATGAGGTTTCTTCAACTGATATCGTAAATCATAAAATTAGTATCTAGATTTGGAATACTCATTCTATTGTATAACACCTCCTTGATATATATTTATGCATCGTTATACACATTTTTGTTGATTTGATCGTTTATTAACCCTAGTTTTTTTAATTGCATTGATTGATAGATTTTATATATTTAATTGATTACTCTATAGTTTTGTCTCTAAATTCAATTATATT